ATGTATCAATTACATTTTTATAATTTTTTTGTCATCTTCTTTAGTTCGTTCAATTGGCTCTCTCTATAATGACTTTATATTGTATATTATATAATATATATGTTCTGACGTTAAAAAATAAATAAAATATAAAATCAAATACCAAAAAAAAAAAGGATAAAAGATAATATTTGAATGTTATAATATCTTTTTTCCTCATATTTTACCATTTGAATGTTAAAATTTAATGTTTTCATACATGAGCATGGTATTCTCACCTTCATGTAAGTTTAAAATTTTTTACTTTTTAATTTGAACTTTTCATTAGTTGTTAGATGTAAGTTAAATGAAAAATTTAAATTGAGTGTAAGAATTTCTAAACTTATACTAATGTAAGAAAATTTTTTCCTTTCATATATTCATGAATTTAAAAATAATTTTTTAAATATTTTATATCAAGAATTATTATTTCAATAATTTTTTAATATTTTATAATAATTAATTTAAAAATAATATCTACTATATATTTTATTTAGTTGACATTATAAATATATGTGTATATATATACATTAATAAAAATAAAATTAATTTTTTACTAACATAATGTTAATAACACTCTTTATTATTGTTAAATTTATAAAAAAAAATTACAATGGATTTTATCTTTTTCACTTTTAAGTTAATGTTGTTTCTGTCATACTTTTATATTTTTTAATAAATAAATTTTGATAAAAAAGTATGTTAAAAAATGTGTCATTAATGTTTTTATTTTTATCATACGAAATACACTCTGAACGTAGAAAGTAACATGTATGAGAACATGTGTTGTTACGTGTTAAAAATTAAATTTAACTTACTTTCAAAGCTCAGTACATATAAAAAAAAAATTAATATAAAACATATTCTAACTTAACCTAATTTTTTAATATAGCATAAAAGTTTATTCAATTTTAATGTTAGATGACTAATAAATGTCCAAGTTCCGTTTCTTGCACACTTATGCACTTATTCTAATTTGTGTGTGACAAAAGTTTGACATGGACTAAAAATGAAATTGAAAAACACTCTTTATAAAACTTGAGCAAACTAACTTTGTGAATTAGTATGTAAAAATGGATTAGACTTATTTTTTATTATATTAATTTAATGAAAATACAATTTTGTTATTATAAAATAAAATAAAATATTTCAGCTCAGAATATTATGTTTATCATATTAAAAAAATATTTTATATTATAACTTAAAACATTTGTCTTAAAGCCAATAGTTAAGAAAACAAATTAAAAAGATAAAGGTTGGATGTAGAAATAGAACAAAACAGGAAGGTTAGATGGGTTAACAAAGTGGCTCAGAATGAGCAGTGATTGATGGCAATTAATAAGGTGAGGGGTGTGTGAGAGCATCAAATGTTTTGGCTCCGACAAAGGAATAGGGTCCGTAGACTTTTCTGCATGCACGTATATGAATGAAGGGTACTGCAACTGGAGCGTTTATGTCTCAAACTGTTGCTGTGTAACAGAATAATTATTCCTATCCGTATGAGGTAAATGCAGGCCAATCAATATTGTGGGCCACTTCTTTAACGCGCAAATACGCACCATTTTCATCAAACTGGACAAAATTGTAGGCCATACATAAGTCAAAGTTTATGCACCATCATGCCCAACTGATTTTCGAATATATCTAAACCTTACTATTTTCATTTTTAACATAAATTCTATAATTATAATTATATATTATCTTGGCCGATAATTCTAGGTCTTAACTGAGATTTTTGTCAGTCATGAACTTCACCGCGTGTCTCGCTTTGTAGATATATATGTATGATACTGTGATTTGGGTTTGTTCCATAACCAACTTAAACACAAGGAATAATTAAAACTGTATTAAGATTAAGCAGGATTAATAAAGATAGATTATATTTTTTTACAAATTTATACCATTTATTTTTATTTTTATTTTAAAAGAAAAATCGAGTGTGATGTTAAAAACAGAATAATTAAAACTGTATCGTACTGTAGAGATCTGGAGGCAACTAGAATACGTTGTAAGCAAACAATGTGTTTCGTTCAACCATCAATATGTATTGAGAGTCAAATAATAATATGCTTAATTTAAAAAATAAATAAATAATAACTTTTAATATATGTTTAATAACATCTAATCAAAATTTATATATAATTATTCTTTATTAAACAATGTGTGATATCATGAGAACTTTATAAATTGACAATATTAAATATTATGATTTTAAATAAAAAAATATTAGTTATTATTTTTATTATATATCTTTAAACATAAATTATAAATAAATAATATTAAAAATATTAATTTTTTAAGACTTTTAATTATGTTTAGAAGTTTTTGGATAAAGAAGTGAATTTATAAATCTTTCTAACCTCTTTTAATAGTATATTTTTTAATTTTTTTAATTTAAAATTTTTATATTAACTATATTTTTTCTTCTTCTTTACTTTTCGAACTATTTTTTTCTCTTTCTTTTTACACTCTCAATTAAACTTTAAATATATTTGTGTGACTAAACTCATTACCGGTTTATATAAACTTTAGAATCAAATTCTTCATAGTAAAAAATAATTGCTTTTATTTAATATGTTTTAGATTTTGAGTTAAATGTATTTTTATCTTTTATTTTGAATTAAGAATCAATTACTGAGTTAGATTAGTCAAAATTTAAAGATAAACTTATTTTATATTGATGAGATTTTTTTAAAGTAAAATATTTCATAATAAATAATGACAAGTGCTAATTATTTTAAAACAAATGTTAATTACAAATAAAAAATAACATACTCAAAATATTATTAGTATATTTTTGTTATAAATTTTAATGTGGCAGTCAATAAAGAAAATTAAATTTATCAATTATTTAAATAATACTTTCTTGCTTTTTTTAAATAATACTTTCAAACATTACTTATCACCCATTATTTAACACACCAATTAATTGGATTGATGTAGGTACTATAGCATGCATTAATTAATACACTTCAATAATTCAGAAAAAAATATAAAACTAAAGAATATAAGAGAGGAGAATTGGATACCCCCAATAATTCTATCATTGTAAAAAGTTGAAAGGAAAATTATAACCTATATACGATTCCGCTAATCAACTAAATGAAGTTGGAAGTGATAAATTAACACAGAAAAAATGAAGAATAGGACATGAATTTGTTACATTAAGTCTCAACAGTAAAAAAGAAAAGTAATTAGAAAAAATAAAACAAAAGTGTATAAAGAGGAGAATAGGATACCCACCAAATGATTGTGCTTATAAGTTCAAAGAAAAATAATGACCTGTGTTATTCCAAACGAAAATTCCTCCATTATAGCAATCTCTAAGATGTGCAAATATAATATACCAAAAGCACAACACAATCTCATCCGTTTTCGTTACTTATAAACCAATCAATATATACGACTTTTTAGAAGAAGAAAAAAAATAAACAAATTAATTAATCATTTATTATTTTGATTGAACAAGTACATTTTGTTTTGAGAAACGCGATGTGAGTAATAGATATTTAGATGCTGATGAAAGGCTGACAAAAGCACATTAAGAGCAGAAAAAGTTGACCCATTTAGATGATGATGATGATGAAGCTTCATCTCTTTCTTAGTACTGACACCCATGAAGAGAAACACATCACCTTGGGTGCACAGTGCCACAGAGACAACAACTGCATGCTAGTGTTTTAGGTTCTTTTCAGAGTGAGGTTACTCACAACTCACAAGATTCCTCTTGGTGGACCCTCCTTCAAGGGTTTATGACTCCATGTGTGATGCTGGCATTTTCTGTTTTCACAAGCCTCTGTTACAATGCATAAGGTAGGGTCCCCATCCCAACAATTTAAGCCTCCTTTAATGTTTTTTTAATCATTTTTTCTTTTCTCATTATTTTTCAATAGTAAGCTTTGATTTGCATTCCATTTTTTCAGCGCCACAGTCAAGTCCATAATTTTCTGCTCCTCTATTCTCATTTCTGACAAATGTCTAATGAGTTTAAGTAAAACGGAAAACGTGGCAATTAATTCACCAAAATGTAAGTTTTTTTTCTCACCTGTGGCACTTTTAGGATTTAATTAGAATTTATTTAATATATGCGTTTAAAGATATATAATTAAAGCATGACATAATAATTTAACTTTTACAATATTTTTAAATTATTAAAAAATATTTTCAGAGGTTAATTTTAAGCATATAAAATTATGAAAAAAATAAATATTATTACATAAAGTATTAAAAATAATAAATATTTAATTTTAATATGTTTAAAATTAGCTCTGACGCTGATGTTAATAGAATAGTTTTAAAAATAAATTTTTATGGAAAAATGTTTAAAATATATTGAAAATTTTAATTGTATAACTATTGTTATAATATAGATTAATATTTTATTCTTTAATAAATTTTACTAATTCATACTTGAAAATCATAGTTAAAAATTAAACTAGAGCACATTAAAATTAGAATAACAATGAATTATTACTAATTTTAAAAAAATATAAAATTCCTTAATTAGTGTTCTTAAAATATTGATTATCAATTTTTTTTTTCATTTCACCAAACATGTAAATTAGTTAAAAAAAATTAAAATCAACTCCTTTCAAAGTATAAAGCTCATTAAAATAGTTTTTATTTTAAAATTGAAATATTACATTGATAATGTAAATTATTTACACAATCATTTAACCATGAATCATTATATCATTACATTTTTTAATTTTTATAATAATTACTTAAAAATCATCTTTAATATTTTTAAATTAGTTGATAGTTTAAGTTGTTTTTACATTAATTGTGTAAAAAATAATTTATTTTTAATCAATTTTTCACCTATATAATTAAAAGTTAAAGTTTAATCAAGAGTTTTAACTATTTAACTTTTATATAAGACTTTATTAATATCAAAATGCAAGCTAAAATAGGAAAGAAAAAAAAAAGAGAAAAAAGTCAATGACAGTCATTTGAAGAGTAAAATATGTCAAAATTGAAACTTAAAAAGAAAAGGACAAACCCCCAATTAATCTTCTCCCATTTACACCAGCACGAACATAAAACAAGATGAAGGGAAGAAAAAAAATTACAACCTTAATTAAGGTCTCTCTCTTCTTTATTGTTCTCTATCTTAAATTCCTCTCTGCTTGGACTTATTTATTATCCCAAAAAAATAAACAAATTCTATAAAAAAGAAAAAAAAAACCATATAATCTTACTGACTATATGCTACAACAAAGTACCGTCTCCCACAGCTCGATACCCATGTGTCATTCCACCGTACTTTTACATTGAAATTCTTTCTTCACCACCACACTCACCAATCGCCGCCGCCACCACCACCACCCACTTTTCCGACAACCCCTGAATGCTCTCTGACCCACTTCAACTCTCTCTCTCATCACTACTCAGCTGAAGCACCCACTGAAGAAGCATTATTCTTGTTTGCCACTATCTCATAGTTACCACCACCGCCACCTCCACCGCCTTCTTCATCCTCTTCATCGTCTTCTTCTTCCTCTCCCTCTCTCTCTTCCTCTTCATCATCCTCTTCGTTCTCCACGTCTTGCATTGTGACCTCTCTCTCCCTCATTAGGTCGTGCTGAGGTGGCCATTGCTGCTCCGGCCGCACCATCAACGGTGCCACCGTGGAGTCCGGCGGCTTGGGCACTTGTTGGTTCTCGAGCTTGTTCTTCTCTCTATACAACGCATCGAGTTGCTGAAAATAAGGACATGTTTTGGAATCTTCTGGTCTCTTCTTGTTGCTTTCCTTAACTTTCTTGAAGTACTTGTTGATGTTCTCCCATTTCTCTTTGCACCTTTTGGGGTTTCTGTTGTACCCAAGCTTCTTCATTGAGTTAGAGATCTCCTCCCAAAGAGGCCCTTTTGGTCCATTCTCTTGATACTTTGCGTCAAGGCTTGTTCTCAGCTTTATCAACGCCTGAACCTCCACTTTTGGCCACCTCGAAGAACTCGCTGGCATGAAATTCTCACCGTTGTTGTCAGCTTTCACTATTTCCATATTTGTCACTTGTTGTTGTGGGACCACGGGTAGAACAACGGGTTGTGCAACTACTGGTGGTGGTTGTTGTTGCACTGGTGCTGCTGCAGCATTTGATTGTGGCTGAGACACTGCTTGTGCTTGTGCTTGTACGATGTTGATGTTACTCAATGCTTGACCAAGGTTTTGTTGTTCGGCTATTTTTTGCAAGAATGACATTACGGCAGCGTCTTTGGCTGCGGCTATGGACCTTTCTTGTGCTAGAATTTCCCTTTCCGTATTGATTCTTTGCATTTCTTGTACTCTCCATGATTCTTCTCTTACCATTCTCTCGTGTTCTCGTTTCTCTATGGCTTCCAAGAACCTCTTTTGTAAGTCCTCTTGCTTCTCGATCACTTCCTTCATTAGTCTCTCGAAGAAGTCCTTCCACTTGCGCTTCCTCTTCCGCCTTCCTTCCAATGTTTCATCGGAGGAGGTTGAGGAGGAGCTAGAATTAGAGAAGGTATCGGCTGGGAAAGAGGGTGGGGTTGCGTTGGTGGTAGGGTTTGCTGTTGATGGTGGTGGGAAATTTGTAGGGTTTGTTGGAAGGTAAGAAGGGTTTGTGAGGTTTATTGATGGGGCAGTGACAATGCCTTGAGGCATGGCTATGGGGAGCGTTGTTGTTGATGGAACAGTGACATGGGGGACACTAGTAGTGAGAGTGGTGTTGGACACTGGTAGCATTGGCACTGTTGTTGGTGGTGATGTAGAAGTGGTTGGTAGTGATACTGTTGTTGTTGCTGCTACTACTCGTGTTGATAGGGGTTGTGGTTTTGATGATGGGTTGGGGGAATGAGATGTTGGAGGGTGGTTCTCAAGGGCTTCTAATTGATCAAAGAAACGATATGTTTTGCCATCTGATTTCCCACTTCGACCTTCTTTGGTTCTCTTGTGGTACTTGTACACGTTCTCGAATTTCTCTTTGCACTTCTTCGAACTTCTGTGATACCCATGCTCTGCCATTTTCCTGATGCCCAAATAGAAGACAAAATTAAAAAAAAAAAAGGAAAAAAAAGAAAAGAAAGAGTTTCTCTCTGGGTTTATCTTATTATATCTTATCAAATTCAGCTAGTGGACAAAGGATAAAAAGCATTGGGAGCATGAGATAATCATAAAATAAAAAATAATGAGGCGAATTAATCAAGTAATATTATTGGAAATGCAAGGAAAAGAAATTAGCGGAAAGGGAGATGAGAGAAAATGTCAAACTTGCATGTAATTCAAGTTGTAAATAACGAAATCCCATGAATTGATGAACAGAAATGTCTCCCATGAAAAACACATGAACCCAAGTTAGAAGATTGGATGGATAATCTTCTACCTTAATTTTCCGTAGGAGTTGGTAACCGAAATAAAAGGGGGAGGGGAGGGGAGGAAAAATCTTGCTTTTGATAACTCAATTCAAGTTGGTAACTTATTTGGAAAATAGGACACCAATCAAAGTGAATGTCAGAAAAGCAAAATCACACCCAAATCATGTAGGCTGCACATCTAAACTCTTTTATAATAATTTATGTTTAAACTCCAAAAGATTAAAAAAATTAAAAAGGAATATTTTAAGGGAAAGGAAATACAAACGGAACGGGAAAGATGGAATTGAAATTGAAGTTAGTGGAATATAATACATTTCCGAGGATAGAAATCGAAAGCAAAATTGAATCCCCAGATCTCCACACCCCATTATTTTTTTCAAAAAAAAAAAATCCCAGAACACCAAAATTCACATGAATTGAAGTGATTTCAATGACAAGAAGCAAGCAAAGAAGCTTAAAAATAATTAAATTAAAAAAAAAAAAGGAATGATGAATCATATATTAAGTAGTCAGCACTCACCTGGAGACTTCTTCCCACAAAGGACCCTTAACACTTGCATCTCGAAACGCCACGTCCATATCCGACCGTATCCTTAACAAAGCCAAAGTCTCTTCTCGTGGCCACCGGTTGCCACCGAAGCTACGTTCACCCTCTTCGATTCTTCCCTTCTCATCATCCCCTGAATTTGATCCAACTCCGCCACCGCCACCTGTGGCCGCCACTGCATCGCCGGAGGCACCACCTTCGCTGCCGCCACCTCCTCCTCCTAGCACAGCTGAGTCCTCAAGCATAGTCTCTTTTGGGTCTCTCTCCCTCTTTTCCACAACAGCACCAGCAATTACAGCAGCTGAGACGAGGAGAAAAATTAAAATTATAAACAGAGAAAAAAAGGGTGGTGAATTCTTTCAAATTTTGATGGGTTTTTATTTTATGTAATCTACATGTGTCTGTATATATGTACCAAAGCTCTCTCTCTCTCTCCCTTTCTATGCTTTGTGTGGGAGGTGAATTTATTATTATTATTTTTAGTTTTTATTTTTATCTATAATGAGAAGAAATAATAATTAATTGTAATAAAAATAAATTAATATTTCTCCCCCCCCCTCCCCCTCCTTTTTTGCTTTTTATTATTTAACTTTTACGTGCTTCCTTTTTTCTTCTCTTTTTTAGCTGTGGAATCTACGGTCTTTTTTATTTTTTTTGTATTGTTTATCACTTCTGGGTTCGGTAAATTCACCTGACTTTGCTCTATCGATTGAAGTAATAACAAAAGTGGCACGGAAAAATATATGCAGGTATTTATTAATTTGTTTATATTTATTTATTATTGTCGAAATTAATAAATATTTGCATAGATTTTTGAACAGCTGCGCACAGGGACGATGGAGATAATTGTTGGTTTTTGTCTGTCCAGCTATTTTTAGTTAAAGGCCGGCTCCTGTAGGTCACCTTTTTCTTTTCCTTTTATTTGTTTATTTACTCTGTTAAAACCATTTAAATTAATTTTAATCTATTTATTTTCTGAAATTTATCATTATCATTATTATTATTTTCTTTTTATTGGGATGAAGATGAAGATGAGCTTTGTTGCTTTCTCTTTTGGGATGTGTTTTTTGGATTTCAGTGGCGGTTGGGCACACTGAATGAGAAATGTCCAAACAGGCCCTAACGTGGTTCCTGCATTGACCTTTAATCATTGAAGCTAATCTATCCTATATTATATTTACATCAGCTTGTTTGTGATCTGGGTTTGTCCCTCCGTTTCACAGTTCCTATATTTTTATTTTATTTTTTTCACAATGTAGATCTGTGAATTGCCCAAAAAGCCCTTCCTTTTAAAGTATATTTCTAAGTGGGTAAAAAAAAAAAAAAACATTGGAGTGTTGATTTTTATTTTTTTCAACTTGTTGCCTAGAACTGTGGTACTCTCTACATGTGGCCTTTGAGGTCCTACCCTGATCGTGACAATTGCAATTTGGACAAATTTAATTTCCTTCACATATCTGATAAAATAAAATTGACACACACAAAAAAAAAAGAGTTTTAAAATATCTTTTTGTGATTCCACGCAGTGTTTTGTATTCAAACTCTTTTTGTGATAAATAAAAAGAAATGTGAATAATAGTAATTCAAATTTTGATAATGAATAAAAATGTTTTTCTTATTAAGTGGGAACCACTGTTGAATAGAACTAGTTTGAAGGAGATCATATTATTAGGCCAAGCTATTTACCAAGCTATTTATGAACAGAAGTAAATGGTGGCCAGTTCTGTTGGTTTTGTGACCTACCCTAATAAATGGCGTCAAAGTTTTGATGGCCGTGATATTGTGCATCATCTGTGATTCCAATGGGAATTATCGGTTTCTTAAATTTAAACAAAGTAATTACACCAAGGAATACTTTGGTACTATACCCAACATTTTTTTTTATAACATTTGTTATGTTATGGTCTTCAGGCTTTGCTTAATCAATCAAAATATTTAGCATTAGTATACATATTTTAAATTTGTATTGAGAATAGGATATATTATATTAATAAATAATAGTTTTTAATGAATATTTAAATATTAGTATGGTATATATTATTAATTTGTTAATTTTGATTTTTTAAAGTTTTTACTAATCACTTAATTTTTATTAGATAAAAGTAAAACTAACAAAGGCTATTCATACATTTAATATTTTTGTTGTGCATTAGTAAATGATAATTTTTTAATTAAAGTAATTCATAATATTTAAAACAAAAAAGTAGTGAATTTTTTTAAAAATGCTAAAGATAAATTAATTCTTGGTAAATGACTAATGGGAGATAACATTTTATTTTGGTTAATGTAATTCAATGTATTTGTCAATTGTATTATTCTTTTTAAAATCATATATTTTTTTAAAAAATATTTCATCATTTTAATTACTTAAAATATTAAGTATTGAAAACAAAAACTATTAATTTCTTGATAGCTTGAAGCATCTATTATGTTTATATAATAATTTTTTCTTAGGAGGATATAAAGAAATTTTCATTAATATCCTTTGATAGGTTATTAAATATTTATTAATTATTAGTCATTCTAGTGAAACTAAATATTTTTCATACGAACTAATAATAAATTCTTCTTTGATAATTCAAGGAAAAGTAATGCATATCATGCTGATCCCATTTCAGTTCTTAAAACAAAAATATGTTATATAAAAACGTGATTTTGCTTAACTATTTTCTTAAAGATCCGTTGTCATAAAAAAAACAAAAATTTGTAAAAACATCTATGGACAAGGTAAAAAAAAAAAAAAAAACCGGTGCATGAGTTTTAAAGAACTATTTCAGCTCTTCAAGAAACTAAAATTTTAGGATTCTGACTTTTGTTTACAGATGATTTTGTAGTATTTTAAAAAAAAAATTAAATATAAAACCTTTTTTCTTGTTCTTCCAAGAAATAATTTTTTATTTATTCTATATCTCTATCAGTAATCTAATGTATAAAAGTGATTTTCTTATGCAGTCAAAATAAATTTAATTTATATTAAAATGGTTTATTAATTAGCAGGACTAAATATAATTTAATTTTCTCATAATTAAAATTTAAAAAACCATACACAGTCATTTTTTTCAATAATATATTTTCATAGTTGATTCAGATATATACTGAACGTTAACAATGGGGAGGGCTAAGTTTTTTAAAAGCACACAGGCATTTAATTTTATTTCCTCACGTAATTATTAAGATTATTATGTTAACCGTATTCATTAGGAAGATTTAAAATTTTGTTATCTTAACAAAGTGATGCAATTTCCTTATAAAAGTAGAAACCATGAAACAGTGTCATAAAAAATTTAAAAAATAATATTTTATTCTATTAATAAAAGAAAGATTCGTAAATTCAGTTATAAATTTTTTCTAATTATTCTTAGAAATAAATCATTTTAAAAAAATTAGTACTGTGCTAATTTTTAAACCAAGAAAAAAAGGTGGGGAACATGGAGTCATTGGTGACGGTGTGATTTATTGGATGATTTCCCATATATATATATATATATATATATATATATATTCTATATCAAAGACAATGGCTCCTACCCACACACAATTATGGCACCACCGCTGTGCAATGCTATGTGAACGTTGCGTTTCTCTTTCGAATTTTAAATTCCAAACCTCTTTGATCGTTGCACTTGCACTTGAAAATGACTTGATATTGTGATAAGGTTGTTGAATATTGAAAAAAAATAATATATTTTACTTGTTATATAATTTCATTTGGTATTATCTGTATAATTTGGTCAATTTGGAAATCTTTTTTATGAACCATTTTATCACACGAGACAATAAAATTTCTTTTGAAAGACAGTATTGCTTAGAATTAGTAACCATAATAAATGTTTACTAAATCGTTCTTTTTTTCTGGGGAGGAATGCATTCTTAATTATGTGAACCTTTAATGTCAATAAATGTTTGTGACAAAACCTTTGGTCAAATGAAACCCCCACGGTTAAAGGAATTGGAAATAGCTATTGACATAAAAAAGCATCCCAAAGAAAATAAAAATTGAAATAAAGAGTGGTAGGAGAACAGAAATTGGAAAAATATATTTACTTTTTTTTTTTCTGCCATCAATTCAGTAAGTCAATAATTGAGTCTAAAACAAACAAGGGGAAATGCAAGCATATATATATATATATATATATATATAATGCAAGGGCGTGGGACCCACTCAATCAATATACCATTTAATGCATATAATCATCAAGGATTAGCTTTTTATTTTGAGATATATTTAGTTATACAAATCTAATTTACAAAGCACCTGCGAATCATGTGCAAAGGGCATTTTAGCCAAAGCAGACAAAGAATGCACAAGGCAATGGGTAATGGTGGGGCATCTAGGTAAATTGGTGATGGCAGGTGGTGTTAAGTTAGGTTGACATCAATAGGAATGGGTTACACCCCCCCTTTTCTTTTATAATAAAAAAGAAGGTAGATCAATGCTAGCTAGGTGATACTATATAGGAAGACAAATATTTATAAAGAATGTGTAATTAATTAATTTAAGGGCTGATAAATAGTTAATAGAGTTTTTTTTTTTGTTTATTTTAAAAGTTATAAAATTGTTTTTGTTTAAATTAATTTATACACATATTTTAATTACAGTTAGAGTTGAACAATTATTTTTATTTCACTTTAAATTAAACAAACACACTTGTTCTCTTTATTAATTGAATTAAAATGGATTATTTTTTTAGTTTTTATATATAAAGCCTTAACTTTTATCAAGTCAATTACTTAACTACAAATTCAACCTTAAAAATACTCAAATAATTGAGGATCTAATTAAAATTTAAGTCTTTTTTTATTTCAACTAGTTAATTATTATATTTGATCTGTACTAATCCGTTTAAAGTAACTTATTTTGACATAATGCATTTTACATGTCAAATGCTAATTTTAACCTCTAACATTTGTGATATTATTGAATGAAATAGTAGTTCTAACACCAATTGACATATTTTTTTTAAGTTTATGTGTGTGTAATGTAATATAATGAAAAAGTACAAATATATGCATTCACGCAGGTTAGGTTTAATAACTCCAAAATTTGCTATAACTAATCCTTAATTTCAATGAAATATTATGTTTTCTTTTTTGTATGGACGCCAAAATTAGATCCAACCTAAAGCACTGAAACTGTGATAGATTGATGACCGGACCAAATCCGAAACATCCCGAACTGTTGGTAGAAATATATACTTCAGAATAGATATAAAAAAAAACTAAGAATCATAATGTTTTAATCTATCAAATATTTTATCAGTCGAATCTGCTATCACGCATGAATTCGATTAAGTTATTAGAATAAGCAATGGTTATTTTAATTAGATATTTGCGGCTATTGTTTAATCTTCTTTTTATTTCTAATTTGCAGAAAGATATAGGAATAATAATAATAGTAAATAAAAAGAGCACA